AAGTAGAGTTACAGAAATAAGTTGGTTCATTCATATGGTACGTACCTACATACCTAGTAGTAGTCTTTGGTTTATAACAAATTTTGAACACAGCTAATTAATTTAAAACAGAGTCCATTGAATCATTTTAGCGTTTCAAATCACCAAAGCGTTTGATGAGCGCTATTATGAACCTAAATTCATGGACTTTGCTTTAAACCAATGACCGTGACATTTATGTCATTTAATACCATCACTATTTTGCAGCACTAACAACAACAATGGGTGCGCAATTCCACTCCATTCTAAGATCAGACGTCAGTGTCTTAATATTCTCGCATCCTGTAAAGTTGTCCATCATGAGCTATGTGATAATTTGGAGCTTCATGATTATGTTCTTTAACTGAGTCAACAACTCTTTGTCCCAAAGAGTCGGTAGTGACGCAAGCTTTGCAGTTCTTCGATCTTTTTGATGAACAAATCCAACGCTGGATATTCTTTGAAGCGATGTATGGATTATATGTGTAGCCTTTATACACCAGGAGAGGCCGATTTCTTCTTGATCGCAGAATTTGAACTGTTGGCATTTCGATATTGATTAATATAAGCCTAAAAAGGGTCATTCAGGTTAAGTGCACGATCGATAGTTGCAATGTTAGTTGTTCTACACGTTGCGACTGTCGAACGACTGTAAGTAGAGACCTGTCGCATAGGCATAGATTCGTTTGACGTCAATGGGATAATCGTTGTGTCTGTTTATGTCTTCATTTATGCACAAAAATAATTTAAGAGTTTTTTTATTTTTTCAATTATCAGTTCAAAAGCCGTTATAGCGTGGTCCGCAATTGTTGTTTTTTTTTGGGAAGTAGGTAAGAATGCAACAATAAATAAATAAATGTTTGGAACAATTTTATTTATTCACGAAATCATAACCTTTTTGGTTTCCCCGTGGTCAGTTCAAATTGGCGTACGTGCAAAACTTTAAACTACTAATAATTACAAGTGCCAAATTTAGAAATATCTTGGGGCTTGATGATTGTGTTCTTCAAAACAATACAAGACACGTTTCCCTAAAGTGTCGGTAATGACAAGAGCTTTGCATTTTTTCGACCTGCTTGAAGAGCAGATCCATCGCTTTCTAGTTTTCGATGTGAACGCCGGGTTGTAAGTGTACTTCCTGTACACAAGAAGAGGGCGATTTCTTCTTGAACGTAGTATCTGAACTGTCGGAATTTCAACATAAATTAATACATACATGCAAGTTACCAAAGGCACTAGAAGAATTAAAGCCAGTGTTATAACATATCATAATTATCATTTCAACGGCAACGACTATACCTGTTTCTCACCCACCATTGCAGTTTTTTATAACTCTATAGAGTTATATAGTAGTATAGAGACGAAATGCAACAAAAGAATTAAAATATTTTGAGAAATTTCATGACTTTATATCAATACAATAGAACACCTACAATAAGCTCGGGAATTGAATTGGGCTTTATTATAAATTACCTAACGAATAGGTAAATCAAGAATTTCAAAACCAATATTTTGTAGAGTTAACCTTAAAATCACATGAATTATACGAAAACAATAACACCTTGTGTATTTCTTGTGGGTTATAAATATAAACCATTGGACAACTAAAAAAACAATTACGTTTGCAACATTGGAAAATAACTATTTATTTTTACACGTAAAATTACTTTTAGGTAACCAAACAATTTTTTCGGATCTACATCGCATAATTTGTTTTTTCAAACAAAACAAAGGTTTTCGGGTTCTTTACAGGTGTCATGGTCACAGCTGACTTTTACTCAAATATTTAAATAAAATATTTAAATACGAAGAGATCTAAAATGTCTACGTTTGGTCATCTAATAATTATCGCGGTTGACCGGAATCACTTTCACCCATTACTTATTGAACGTGCATGACTTATTGAATAACTTTATAAAACTTTAGTCAATCTAGTCAACCTCTTACACCTACATCCTGTAAAGCCGTCCATCCTTCGAAATATGACATTTCGGAGCTTCATGATTGTGATCTTTCCAGGCATTTAAGATGCTTTGTGATGACGTAGAGTCATCGGTAATTACAATAGCTTTACATTTCTTCGATATTCGTGAGGAACACACCCATCGCTTGGTACTTTTCGACATACTGCTTAAAGTATAGGTGTAGCCCCCATACCATAGAAGGGGGCGATTTTTTCTTGATCGTAAAATGTGAACTGTAGGAATTTCGATATGGATTAATATAGGTATAAAATTTATGGCACGGCAAATGAATGGATTAGGTTTTCCAACACAATTTCCTCACAAAGCTGCTATTCAACTTTACCTACTTCACTAGCTAGCTAACTAGTGTGGAGCGGCTACGTACGTGTGACGCGCCACAGGCGCAACTGAAGTCGACGCTCAAGATGACGTAGAACTCCATCTCCGCCCCTTCTGTGAAACGGTGATGCTCCAGAAGGAGGTCGCCGAGCGTGATCGGGAGAGGGCCGATCCAGCTCCTGCGGGGGCTCCGTTCGCAAGTAAGTTTGGCAGTCGCGAAGACGACGACAGGGTGGTGTGGTCCGCTTCTTCGTGAGGAGGGGAGGGGCAGGACGTAGCTCCTCTAGGTGCTGCGGGGGTTCCGGTGCGCAAAGTCGATTCCGGATCCCTCCTACGAGAGCACTCGAGAAGGCCACCGTGGGGTTTTAGGCGGCAGACGCCGGCATAACCTTCCGCTGCCCCCGCGGCGAGGTATCCTACGAGGCTTTCCCCACGAAAAGAAAAAGAACTCCACCTCCGAGTACAAAGTGATGTTATACCCACTGCTGCATTACCACCGCCGTCTCGTCATCAACCTCTCTGCCCTTCGGTCTTGATTTACAACTGCTGCCTGGCCAACAACCTCGCTGCTCTTCGGTCCTGCACCTCGGTCTCCAACACTAGCTCTCGAGACAGACGCGTCCAACTTCGTATCTCCATCTTCTCCTATCTTTACCTACACATTATATACATTACTCATTCTACTCTACTACGCCCTAGCACTTTCAGATTCTTTTCTTTATATAAATGCGCGCAGCGAGGCGAAATTGACGCTTCCATTCCATTCCGTTCCGCCGCAATGTAAATTGAGCCTTAACAGTATCGATCAAAAAGAAAAATAATTATGCAAATAATATAAACAAAACATATACGAAAACAATGTTATGAAATTTCTTTAACCACATAATAATTCAATACATATAGGTCGACTAAGTACTTACTAGCTTCGTTTTTGCGTACTTCTACGACTGTTCTAAGTATTATCAAAATCTTGAGAAACGTAATTTATTTTGATGATCTACTAAGTGAGTTAGTGATTTGTCGATACTTTAAGACATCACTATTTCTATTTCATGAAAATTGACAACTTACTAAACATCAGGCCCTGATTTTAATTAAAATCGGAATCGATCCGATCGGGTAGCCCATCCGCAATATTATACGCCTCGACTCGGAAAAGACGCCGTTTCCGATCGGGACAGGCAATCAAAATCAAGCTGCATATCTCTAATTAAAAATCCGACAAAAGACGTCGAAAATTTATACATTCTCATAACACTCAACATGTTAAGAAAGGATATTTGTGTGGTATTCACTTACCAAACAACAGTTAACCACCTAACACCCTGTAACCAGTAATGAATGTAGAGGTTTTGTATTGTAGTCATATTTACGGAGAACTTTTTTCTCGGTTAAGAAGATACATCAAAACAAAAACAGATTAAATTAAATTATTTAATATTAACACATTTACACAAATTCTTTGGCTACTTCGGAGCAGTTTTAAGCCTAAAAGGCTAAAATTACTATAGTCCGTCCAATCATTAATTTAACTGTCGACAGCTCGAATTCTAATCAATTAGTGATGTTCTAATGCGTTTTCCATTCGATTTTTTATAACAATCGATTATATTTAAGAACTTTTAATCATGAACCCTCTCAGGTTCAAAAAAGAAGATATTGTCTGATGTCGTGTTGTTGCGATTGACGATTTTCTACTCTAGAATTAATGTTAATAAAGATTCAAGTGATGATTCACGTTCATATGGAGAAGAATCCGATGATTCATTATAATAAACAATGAGAATTGAACATAATTACCTATAATTTAATTCATTTCATTGCAATTTATTAGGCGGGTACCAAAATTTATCAACTTGAATAATCTTCGTTATAAAATCTGTTGGCTTGATAAATATTTGATCTTTAGCTCAAATATTCACGTCGCGTCACTAAAATTAAAAATAAAAATGTCCAGCAAGTATTGCATTTTTGTCTGTGGTTGTATGTCAATAATTACCGAATTTCGGAGGTATGCATATGTCAAAAGTTGAATAAATGGCTGGACAGTACTACAGTACAGTACTTCTCAAGCTCGTATCTTATAAAGAATGATTATTCAGGATACAGCTTTTAAATGTGTTTATAGCACAAGTTCGATCGTGTATGGAGTACTGCTGCCACCTTTGGGACGGCTCTGCCCATTACCAGTTAGCTGCCTTGGACTCGGTGGAGCGAAAAGCAAAGAAACTTATTAACAACAATTATCTTGTGGAGTCGAAGCTACAAAATCTCGACCTACGAGAAAAGTAGCCTGCTTGTCGGTTTTCTATCGGAAACATTTCGGGGAGTGTGCGCAGGAACTTTTTAATTTAGTTTCACCATCACCGTTCCTCCTTCGGTCGACTAGAAGGTCCGGAGCACTCCATTCTTATGTCGTCGATATTCCATCTATTCGCACTAAGCGCTTTGCTTCCTTCTTTCTGATGCGTACGGCAAAGGAATGGAATGCTCTGCATCTGTGTTTCCCGAAAAGTACAATTTGGGGCTATTCAAGGCTAGAGTGAATAGGCATTTTTAGGCAAACGCGTCACATCGTAGCTTAACATCAGGTGAGATTGTGACCAAGCGTTTATCTATTATATATTAAAAAAAAATATGGCAAAACTTTCCATTTATTTTAAATTTCTTATCAAGGGTGTTAATTTGAATGCATTACTTTAAGTATAGGTAAACAGTGTGTGAATATGAAGGAAACGTGAAGTGAAATCAGCCAGCCAAATTTGTATAACAAATATTTTTTTGCATTTCTGTAACTTTGTGTTTTAAGATACGAGTTTGAGAAAGTAAGGCGACGATATGACACGTTGAAACCAATACTGTAACATAAAAGTTAACTTTCGGTAAATGAGCTTTAATGTCTCTGAAAATAATTTTAAATTTGATTGGTTTCAACGTGCAATATTGTTGTGTTTTTTATTTATTATTTATAGCGTACTGAAGAAAATTCAAATATTATAGAACGACCCGTCCTTCGTAATGTAGAAATTCTTGACTACATGATTGTGGCATAAGAATGATTTTCTGATAATCTGCCCCGTATTGTCGGTAGTAATGCTGGCTTTGCATGCCTTGGATTTTCGTGAGGAGCACAGCCATCGCTTGTTAATTCTCGAGGATTTGTGTAGGTTGTAGGTGTAGCTTCTATACAACAGAAGAGGGCGATTTTTTCTCGAACGCAGAAGTCGAACTGTGGAATTTTGATACAGTTTAATTCAAGTTTGTATAGCATTATTGTAAACGGATTTTTGAATTAGGGTTTTATGCTGATTTTTGCCACTTTGGACTTGGGATAGTAATATCCTAAGTGTCAAGTCTGCGATGAAGATTCTACATTAATACCAAGTTTTTTTTGTACTGTTATTTTTTGTAATATTGATTTTTAGTTTATCAACAAAATTAAAATTTCAAAACTGTTTTTAAACTAACCTAACTAGGTAATTATGTGAACAAAAACACAAGTTTTGATACATAAGCGTTTAAAGGCTCATGAAATAAATTCTATAACACTTGAGTAACAACAAAACATTCTTTGCATTTAAATATCGCATATTATAAATAAAAGCGAAAGTTTGTTTCACACCAAACCTAACATTTTGGGATCGGTTCGATAAATTTTGAAGCCCGTTTCATACAGACCACGCGTCGTAATATTACTTATATACAAAGGTACATTGAAATATATATATAATAGAGCTACATACATTCAACATTATTGCACAGTTTTGGCGTCATTTCCATGTCAGTTTTCAGCCAATTTAATGAAGATACCTTGTATTTATAAAGTGCTTTATCAATCCTATCAGTTAACGGTTCATGGTTGTGGTTTCCCGTAGAATGTATGACGATGTAGTCGTGAGTAGTGAGAAGGTAGGCTCTGCAGTTCTTCACCTTGGAACAGTACCATCGGAGACCAATCTTCGGGGGATATGGGTACTTAGAGTATGTGTAATCCTTGTACCTTAATAAGGGTCGTCCTCTTTTTGACAATAGCACCGTTACTGGAAAAGAGTCTTAAGTTAAACATTATCAAAAGCATCAATTAAAAACTGGCGGGGTACATTTTGAGCTTGGAATCTAGTTAGTGCGACTTTTGGCATCAAGTTGTCACTAGACAAAAATAGTTCCGTATAAAAAAACCTGGAACAGACCAAACTTATCAAGGCTTATTGAAACGATTATTTGCTCTGTAAGTTGCTGCGCTTTTTCTGCTCGATTCGGAACAAAGTATGTAACGTTGTACGTTTATTCTACAACTTAAACTACTTATTTCATCTAAAATAAACAATCAACAATTATTAAAATATATTATGTAATTAATTAAAACTATATACAATACGATTGCATTTACAATTATAATACAATTTAACTTATACTAATTATATTTACAAATTAATCCTAATACTTACAAATAATTATCAATAATAGTAACATAATCATCGTTAATATTTTAGTAGTTAAAATGTTAACATTCTAACAATTACATTTCCGAGCCTGAGTGTCCCTATGCGTTGGTCGCTATTGTCTCGAGAGCTCTCCGGCGGAACCGGTATGGAACATTCTAGGCCCTCGCCTGGCCGGCCGCCAGTCAGTCCGCCACCGTCATTGAAAGAGATTCCCGTGTTGCGTTCGCACTTGAATATAGTTGTGTCGTCTTACGTGCTCGGCGAAGAAATTATTATTAAATTATTATATACACCAGTGCTGCGGACATCCTTATATTAATTTGTTGTGAGTCCTGACGTATTTCGGGGTCTATATTTGAAAAAGTTTAACGTGACATTCCACACCCAGTTTTGGTAAGTGTTGAACGTTATTCGATCTTATTGTGTAGTAGGTAGCTTAGCCGTAATTGTTAGTAAATTGCAAATCATTATTTAAATATGTACATTTATTCTTGCTTTATGAATATTATAATATTAATCATCATTTCATTTGTGCTGCAATCCAATCATAAGTTTATATTGTAGATCTTCTAGTCTTTCGACAGTATGTATATATATTGGTGGTATTTAAACTAGTCATCGCTTTCTAGTGCATTTTTATTAAGCTTTGTAACTCCGCTCTGCTTGTGAACACAAAACACGCTAAACTGCTACCCGGTCACTTCCTACGTAGTGCCATAGTCAAAAATGCAGGGTGTTCACAATGTTGGCGGAGGAAACAGAAGCAGAATTCTGAGACTGTGAATTGATTCGCAGGGTGCTCCGTTACCCGATATTTTACCGGAGGACAAACACAATATTCGCCCACCATCTCGACGCCGTTCCTGCCCTCGTGCCCGCTGGCCGCCCTCCGCGGCCCTGTGACTATCAGCAGGAAAGTACCGGTCTGCGACGGCAAACTCTAGACATAGGCATAGTACCAATGATCCTAATTCACTTAATATAAAATTGTATGTTGACTTCGTGGTTTTATTTTAATAATAAAAGGTATGAACGTCACAAGTAACCCATTAGCAATGAATACTACCTATATTTTTGCATGATTAGCGTAAATTCGACCACCTCAATTATTTCATTTTATTTATTATTATATTTATTTATTCTACTTACAACGGATATGTCCAATTACAGAGTAATTAGCAAGAGTAATAATAATAATAATTTATCTTTTAGGCCATGGCAGAGGCGTGAGTCTAAAATAAATGATGATAATAATAATAATAATAGTAATAATAATAATAATAAAACATGATATGAAAGATTATAAACATCGAACCCCTCATGGAAGAATGGCATTAAGTGAAGTTACGACAAAAATGTTTATTGCTCCATTGGATTCTTCCATGAGGGGTGCAATATAATGTGTTCTATTTATGAATATCATTTCATATATCGACGCAACAAAATTGAAGTTTCCAGTATGCCTCTACTTGACACACACACCTATCGCCGATGAAAAAATTTTTCAGGTACATAAGCAACAACAAATTAAAGACTTTTTACTTGAAGGCATAAGCAACACTTTAATTCCACATACCTTATTGTATAGGTAATAAAGTTGCTTCAGATGAACGCATTAGAATCAGCGCAGCAAGCTAAATTAGACTTATACTTCGTCGACCCCCATCGTGACATTGGCGGATATATGATACGCAGTCACAGTTACCGGTGCCCGCCACAGGAATTGGCGATGGCTACCACGGTTTCCTGTGATGGTGACCAGCGTCTGTAAAAAAAAGGTCAACATTTCCGCAGCGTCTTACTGTGGAATTTATTTCAATAAGTTCGTTCAAACGACCACACGACTCATTATACACTACCAGTACAAACACGTCTTGTGATACCTAGCCTAGCGCTGGTTCTATTACCTCGATCTTCACCCAAAATATATATTTCGGAAATTGTGCGGAGTTAGTACTTGATGTTTTTGGTGGAATTAGTCTTTATGTGCAGCTAGGTTTTAAAGCAAGTTGCAGAATCCAACTAGCATATAATAAACCCAGAAAAAATAAAGTGAAAAATGGCTAAATGGCGATTTACTCGCAGCCTATACATGCCAGCGCGGCCAAAAAGCGTTTGTAATATGCCTACAACTAAGGCTTTCTAAAAACAATCTAACGAATTACGTAGCTGCAGCGATTAGACCACTAGAATTTTATTAAAAAAAATACTAAATATGGGACATAAACTTAGGTCGAGGTTTTCTCCAAAACTATGGTAGTGAGACTCATGGGAGTTTTACTCATGTATTCGAATGAAAAGTTTTGTCTGATTATTTTGTTAACAAGTCCGATTTTAGGGGTAAAAAAAACACTGTGCGATGCCATTACCGTGCGTTCCTCGTCATCCCCTTGAATGCCCTAACAAGAATACGGAATAATTCAGATAAGTTTATCGGATGCGGGGACATTCCGTGCTCTAACAAAGACAGATCCTCGAGGCAGGATGACGTGCATTGTATTTCGGTACGTCATCAGCATAGAGCGTAGAGAGAGACTCGTTAAGTAGTCTTTAGCTGGTACGAGTTCGACATAGCCATCGTTCGCTTCGCCGGGCGGAGGGTATCCATAGGTCACTGCATAGTCAAGATGTGTAAATGTTTCAGAGATGCTTGTCTAACCCGAACATAGCTCATGTAGCTGGTTTGCCTCTCATTCCCTCACACTTGAGATGGTCTTAACGCGGCCACGGACAGTGCAATCAAGGTGGCAGACATACTACAATCATACTATTCAAAGTCCATACAGGTATAAAATAAAACAAGTATAGACACTATAAGAAGAAAAACTCTTATGTTATTCGAGCTCATGTGCTCATCATTTCTTATTTACAATTTTTTTTTCAACTAAATAAAATATTTGATAAAAGTCAGAGAAAAGAATGTTACCTTGCGTAATCGCTGCATACGCTTGTAATGGCATAACATACTGTGTATATAACAAGACAATGCAAGTTTCTATGTATGTATGTACCAATGGTATGTCTAAATAAATAAACGTACTCGGATTTTTTTATTAGAGATAATATACTGACGTTTAACAGGTTGCTAGTTTTTGATGAAAAATATAATAGTGTAATTTTAAAGGATCGGTTTCATTAACTCACTGAATAGGTTACCAAGGTAAATTGTGTCCTTTTAATAATTTGTTCATTAAAATAATTGTTAGAAAGAGTATTGCCTCAGTATTGGTCCCATTTTTTTTAAGGTAAGGGTGGCAAAGTAGGTGATGAATCCGGTTTCGCGCACTTTCCGTTAACCGATTTCAATAAAACTTGGTCGATAATAGATGTAATTCCAATAAGCAAAAAAAAGCCAATAAGCAAACTTTTCAGGTTTTTTTTTATATAAAAATGTTATCATTACTTACTGTTTCTATTTTAATTAGTTGATTGAGAACTAAACCAAACACCTCATTAAATAGTAAACATGGCAACATTATTTTTGAGGTGACATTAGCCGCTGTGAGTTACTTATCTATAATTAAAATCCGGTAATATGTAATCGGTTATAATAAAGACAGGTATACAATTTACGAAAATTCAACTTTATTGGGAAAATAATTAAACACCTTAATTTTGTGCTATTTAAACTAAAATGTCATGTGTTAACCTATACGTTTGTACATAACATAATTGTTCAAACGTTACAGAATCGTCTATATTCATTTACATCGTAATTGTCGGCAACTCTTCGTCATCTTTAAGGAGAGGTTTCTAGACAAGTAATGTAACTCCATAAAAACGTAGCAATGCGTCTTCTATGTGTGTGCAAGGCCGCCGCGCGCCGTGTACAGACGCTCACATTCGGCATAATCTCGTAGAGCACTCGTATTGCACATCCCGGGCCATTGCAAGCACTATTCATTTTATTCAAAATTGCAACGTCTGCGTTATTTATGGTTGTTTGAACAAGAGTGCCTCAAAATTCAGAATTGTTCAGCATTTCATTTCTATTACAGAAACATACTCCCATAATCGAGATACCAATCTGTGATACTGGTATAAAAAACATAAATATTTAAATATTGCATTTAACGAAGATTATTTCATAGCACGAGAATACTGTGATGAACACATTATGTTATGTTTTAATCTGACAACCCTACCCTCCCGAGCGATTTGTAGGCATTGACGCGCCGAAAAGGTGGTAGTTAGGCTACTTGTCTTATTTATATTATGGTTTAGGCGATAGTCCGCCGAGCACGATGCGGGTTGGGGACTTCCCACGTTTACTAAGAGTTGTATATCATCCTCGACATGCAAGTTTCACCACGATGTTTTGCTTAACCGTTTTAGAAGCATTGATACTTAAATTTCTATTATTAATGATACTTAAATTGATGCGTAATTGAGAATTAAAGTCCGCAGAGACTCGATCTGTCGACTATTTCATTGAGAAGCAACCATTCTCCCACTCAACCACCTGTCTTATTCATTAATGCGTTAAATTACAGTAAATGAATATATACGCACTAGAATTTATTGTTTGCTTATTAGGAAACCAAACCATACAAATAAAATTCTTAACTAGTCCCTTATTTTTATACTAAAGTTGATGTATTGTAATGATTATAATGACAACATCTAGACTATTTATTAAAACATGTCACATTTTCAAACCGGCAACCCGATTGAAAAATGAATTCGATAGATATTCGATTTTATATCGGGATTTAATGAAAGAAAATCGATTACAATATTTGAAAGCTAGTTTGAAAATAGAAAACAAATATTTCTATCTCTATATTTCGAAAGGGAGTTTCGGTTAATCTTCCACCTCACATAATTTTCTAAAATTACTTCACTGTCCAATTAACTTAAACTAAACCAGAAATAAGTTCAAGGTAATTGGTAAACCGGATTACTTTTGAACGGAGCGCGGAGTTTTAATTTGTAGTTAAGCTTTTATCAAGTGACGTTTCGGAGTCACCACACTTACTAACGCAGAATCGCATTAATCCGGTCAGAAAAAGCTTCATGCCCATGAATGTAAGAGCGAAAAAGACGTTCTGCGTTTCGCATCGGTTCGTACGAACCCGGCTCGACACAGGTAGGCAATGAATCTGTTTCCTGCGAACTGCCGATAGCGTCCCTACGCATGCCAACAACTAGGGCGGCTTAATGCAACAAGTGTGATTAAACACGATCGCATCAAGACGATTGCACGTTAATAAGTTTAGTGATTCCCTAAATCAAAATCAGTAAATTAACACGTAAAGAATGTGTAACACGTATAGAAAGAGTTCGTCCAGGGAAGCACTGCCACTTTATCTATTTCTGCTGCCAAGCAGTCAGCGTCAGGATTACTGTGTTATGGTTTTGAAGGGTAAGGGTGCTGGTGAAATTACAGGCACATGGGACTTATGTGGCAGTGCGCCTCAGATCTTTGCGATTTAAAGAGCTGAGTGGCACTGCAACTGTCATGGACAGGAGTGTAGCTTACCATCAGGGGCACGACTTGTTCGTCCCATCACTTGATATTATAAAAAAATCGGTTTTTGACTAAAATTAGACGTGGTTTCCGAGTGAAGAAACTTTCATAAGTTTTCACAAGTTACACCTAATACAAAGATCCGCTGCAAGCACATAGAGAAATTCTTAAGATCCGCTGGGTCGATCCGTAGTTCAGAGGCAAGAAAGGCAGCCACAATGGTTCGAGTACAGTTAGATCGAAAAAATGTTTCTTTGTGTTTGTTCAATCTTTATATCAATAATAAAAATAAAATGTATTCCTAACCTATTTTACATAATTATAAAAAAGCCGAATTATAATAACAATGCTGAAAACTACGATTATAATACTTAATTATTAGTAAAATTAATAAGATATGACTGTTTAACTGCTGAAAAATTAATCAGTTTCGATTATAAGAGGTTCCCTTAACGCTTCAAGAACATGACTTGGCTTCAAATAGTATTTGGGAGGGTCATGGCAATGGTCTACATAAGCCGAAGTAATAAAGTTGTTGCTGTCGGTGAAAACGCAGCCACGGCAGTTCTTTAAGGTGGAACACACCCAACGGCACCTATCACCTTTTTCATATTGTTTACGATAGGTGTACTGGCGGAAGAGCAGCATTTCTTTGCCTTTTCGTGATGTAATTACAACTGCTGTGTCTGTAATAGAAAAAACATTATGAGCGTCGTTTCAGGGCAAAGGGAAAAACACTGAAAATATTTCTAGATTTGTAAAATGACTCCACTAGTGTGTTATAATTATTTAATACAACCATAATCAACATAATTATTAAAAAAAATACCGGCTGATTGAGCAGGATCATAAAGTCTCCCACACATTGCACTTACGGCGTCGAAAGCCGAAAACTCAATGCATAGACCTGCAACAGACACATAGAAAAATTCCGTCCACTCGGCAAACTCGACCTGTAGTTCAGTTGGAAGAGCGATGGGAACGGAATCCCGTGGTTGCAGGTTCGAGTCCTGTCTGGTCGATAGAATTTTTCTTTGTGTTCGATCTTTATATTGAATAATAATATTTCTGGATTTGAAGTCTCTCATAATTATCTACTAAACGATCAGTACAACTAACCAGTTTAAAACCACTACATCGCTTTTAATACCCGCAATCATAATGCGTGCCACCACTTGGTAAAATCGGAAAAACAATAAATAGTAAGTAAACCTGTTACTAGTGAAAGTCGTTAATTGTCTTTTTTACCTTTATAAAATGATAATACGATAAGTTAAAAATTGCACAACTCGGTCAAATGTTTTCATTTCAGAGTCTTCGGGAGAAGCAAAATCGTATACTCCGTTTCCTTTATTACAGTAACGCAGTATTACAGAATACTACGGTTGTGAACTAAGTATATGTATTTACTTTATCGTGAATAAAGCACGCATCTTCTTACATGAAATCAATAAAATTTTTCGACATAAGAAGATTGGTGCTTTATTCACGATACAATTTCGCTTGCTCTACTCGTCGCAGTATGCGTCGTATTCTGCAAAACTGCGTTATTCTATAAAGGCAGCCGGCTGTTTATTTTTTTAAAGAGAAAATGTCTTACCACTTTGTTCTAGAGTGTTGTCATATGTTACTGCAGAAGTAGGAGTATCATCATGGACATGATCCTGGTTTGTCATAATAATCTCATTATTATCGTTGATGTAAACAAAACCTGGACAGTTCTTGTACACAGAGCAATTCCAACGAGTCCCGTGTTTCGTCTTATAAGCTCTTCTATATCTGAAATCGTTGTATTGCAAAACCGTTTTTCCTCTTCGGGATTCAATAAAAAATGCCACATCGTCTTTCGGATCTTCATGTTCCTCACTTTCCACTTCAGTTAATTCTTCAGTGAGTCCATGTTCTTCAATCATTTTCAATATTTCTTCACTGATTTCGTCCTTGCTGTCTATAGTAGCAACATTCTCAGATTCTGTTGACAAAATCTCAATTTTAGGGACCGTTATGTAAGATACCTTACTGATTTTGTCACTTATCACCTAAACTTATCTACTCATACGTATAAATTTATTGAGGTAAAAATAAAACAACAAGACAGTAATCACTTTTTTATATAAAGACAATTTTTTTACAAAAGAAGAACAACGACGGTGATCGGACAAACATGCAATATATTACACAACTGTGGATGCGCCTCAGTCGTGTGTTTACAATGACAATCACCGATAGCGAGCGCATTAGAACATGGTTTTTGCCCACTTATTAAGTCTGCTCTCGCTGCCTTTTAGAGACAAGTCTACCTTTGCTTATCTTTTACAATATAATTAATGTTTTTTGTTTTTATAGAGAATGTTTATAAATGGTGGCGCTGTACAATTTATCACACAAAATTGTCAAATGTTTTACTCGATCTACAACAAAAACAGTCACTGTAAACCAGCCAGATGAACAGGTAGTTGGCATGATTAGTGTGCAACTTAAAACGGATTTTATATGAACTTTTGCCTTTTAATTTACAACATGGCGGATGAAAATAGTTTTTCACCACGATATGATTTTTTTACCCGATATTTCAGTCCATGCGCTTCATGGTCACAGGTCATTTCGAAAGACGAAACGATCATACCGTGGTAAGAACCTGTAATAATAATGATAATGTGCCAGACAAACACACCAATTACCTGATCTCAAAATAGTGACGCAACAGAAGTGTCATAACGGAAATAGATGTCAAATGTAAATCTTAGCGGAAACGGAATCAAAATCGGGTGCGGAAATCAAAGTGTACCACAAAGATCTCCTTTGAATAATTCCAAACAGGACTCGTTTTTTATTTGATAATTGCATTTAACACAACACAAAACTACTAACAATCACGCGCCCCACCACCAAGAAAACCGCGCGCGGGCGCGCCTCATCCGTCACGAAAAATTGCGGAAGCAGAAACGGGAACAGATGAGAAAAACCCCGCGGAATAGGAGAAGCAGAGGTCTGTGACGTCACTATGTGAAACTAGGAAATGCCCTACGCACACGCACACACTCAACATAGCCTCGCACTAGGGAAACTCTGAGTCGCGGGTGCCATGGACATACACATAGACAACCACAAATTACGCTCAAACTCACGAGAGAAATAATACAGATACTATAAGTACCGGAGCAATTGGCATTGCCCAGAACACCCTAAAAATAAATCGGTCCACAGTACAAACCACCGGTCATCAAACTGTGTACCTAACTAACTAGTAGTAACATTTTTATGTTTTTTTCTTTAAACAACCTCAACAACTTCTAATGGTAGTGTCAAACTACATACAAGTGCGAAGTAAATCTAAACACGTTCTATTCGGCGAGCACACAGATTAGATTCGAAATTTGTACTTCATTCGTTCATTTAATTGAATTTTACAATGTCTACTTAAATTCTAGGATATAACTAAAATTAAACATTAAACAAACACTTAGGCTTATGCTTATAATTAGGCACAACACTCATTTAAAAAATAAAATATATCATTATTAAAGAATCACTACAATTCGAACTAATTTCATTATAAAAAAGCATGCTTATAATAAACCTGTCATCGCAGAAATTACAATATAATTTTTTTAAATAATGGGCTTAAAATCGGAACATGGTTGTGACTATTCCCGACTAAAATAACTTTATATTTTTTATTCAAATGTACGAAAACTCCGCATTTGTTGTGTCTTTTTTGGTTGCAGGTCCATCTTGTACCATTTTTCAGATGTGCGTCTAACTTAAACATGTATCCATCCATAAGGAGTATTTTGCTACCGGTATTCAATGTTATGACTGTAACTAAAAAACATTTTTGAAAAGTACATAAGGAAACAAATATCGACATATACGTATATCTATATAATACCTATAACATTTCTACTGTACTCAAAACTGTTATCAACGTTTCAATTTTTATTAGGAATTCGTTATTTAAAATAAAATACACTTAATTACAAAGTGGAATCTATTTAATTATACTAATAAGTTAAATTAATTTCGATCACACAGCAGCTTAAAATCAAAACATTATTTTTCACTTTTTCTCTCTTGCAGGCTGTTGTCCCCTTATGACTTTTGGCCTCACCGTTTTAGGTTGGCTGGAAGAGATCTCTTTTAGTAACAAATCCATCTCTCGCCTTTTGTATTATTAATATTTGTGGTTTTATTGCACCATTATGTATAAAAAATAATAAAACCATTTTATATTGTGCAGATGATACAAGAATTAAATGAAAATGTTTGGTCATAAAATTAAATGACGTTTCGGAGAATATCATATCATAACCAGAGGAAAATTTTGCTTTATATTTTTCAGAAATTTTTCATTTATTAATTATTGAATAAATGAAAAATTTATTGAAATTTTACTACAACGTAACCAGTGGCGGTGGTTATCTTCCTTAAATTTGAAGTCATCTAGTAAGAGCGATGCCACAAGGGCGCTGCCGGTGCGTTACGTCGTCGAAACATTTTCAACGCACAGTTCACCACACGATCAACACTATGACGCAACGTAACGCCGCTTACTTACGCGCCGCAGCACCCCTATTCGCTTCGTCTCCTGGCCCCTTGTCCGACGGGTAGGTACGCGTTCCGTCTCCGCGCGCTGTTTCAACGCACCACGTGACATGTTACTACAGTAGTTCTAATTTATATTACAACACAGAACACAGACGTACAACGCAGCGTCACCGCTCAGGTGTCGCGGTCGCAACGCCGACGCAACGCGTCACTTGGCATCGCTCCAGTAAGGGAACTTATTCCACATATAGAAATATCAGGTCTGGAATGAAACAATTTTAAAAGTAGCAATTATTTATTTTAAAATTATCAAACTGTGGACTCAAAAGTTAGCAGAAAGTCTAGAATTTACAGGCGTATTTGCAAATATAGCATAATAAGTCGTTTGTATCTAAAAATGGAGCTAGAGTTTCACATCCCTAAGGCAAACGTATATGTATATGTAAACGTAATAAAACAAAGAGTTTTGTAATTCGACAGTATATCTTTAATGTAATATTATATATTATTAATGTATAAATTAATTAATGCATTTCAATATTTGTAGCATTATACCTACTGCGTTTTAAATTAAATTTAAAAACAATAGGCATTATGATGGTTATGAATATTATTGAATAGAAAGTTTTATTATTACTGATATGTTATACATAAAATTAGCTAGATATATAATATATACACATTTTAAAAAGTTTGTAAACATTGTCAACCGACACTGTATTCGGAATTTACACCGACGAACTGTGTGTTATTACAAAAAGCCTGGAAAAACAACAACCTGGAAATCTACCACGAAATACGATACCACGTGACTGCGTCCGCAACGAAGCTCATACGTACTACATATGTCAGTTTTACGATGAAAGTAAATGTCAAAATTCGATTCGAAAGCTGTCATTTGACGTTTCGGAGTAAGGACTTATGTCAAATCACGATCTTCGTACGTGATTCGTGGTAGCATCCGGTCCGATACGAAGCTGAAACGATATCCGTTGCTTCGTAAGTCGTGGTAGACCTCCTGTTTCCAGCAGAACCGGAAGACAAATGATCGGTCTCTGGTGATCAGATATTACAATCTTGTTCTGTGTAATCGGATAAATACAATCTTTTTCTATGTGATTACAAATGTTACATTAAAAGACTATTAAGTATTGGGGATTCGTGGATGAAATTAATAAATACTTCAACTACATCAGATCTGAAATATTACTGCTAAGTAAAAAGTGCACAGCATTTTAACTAATTTAATATTAAGGGTTCTTTTCCATAGTAATGTTTTCCACAGTTAAATCTCAGGTACAAACAACCATATCGACGGCTGTAAAGCGTAACCGGTTATCTGCATAATCGCAATTTTGCATTAGAGCGTTTTGAAAGTAAAAACTTGATATTTTCTGATGTAACAGACCGAATTAACTAAAATTTTGAACGATGAGCAACATAAAAAGCTAATATCTGAAGGATATTCAGAATACAATATATCTGTTATTCTCTCTAGTTTTTGCTTTCAAAACACTCTACTGTAAACTTGTGATTTTGCAGATAACCGGTTACTCTTTGCTGCCGTCGGTATGTTTGTATTTGCAATTGATTCCAACATTTTTTTTAAAAAAAGGGAACCACGGTAGCAGCGATCGTTTAAAATAATTTACTATATTCTTTAAGGGACCCTATATTTAACAAAATTTTTCAGGAGCGGGCATTAAGATCTAGTCTTGTAATACTTTGCGCTCTTGCCGCACAACGGGCTTTTTTGTTAGAGTCGGTAAAGGACAAGTGAACAAATTATTTCTCCCCACGACTCCATGGTGTATGCCATTAAAACATGACAAACAAAAATAGCCCTTGCATTGTACGCAGTAAGTATTGACTTTAGTGGTTTTGTTTTTGGCCAGTTTGCTGCCATATATACCGACGTTGAAGTCGTAGCAGCCTTTGCACCTTCGCCGAGTAAGTCGCGGAGATCCTTCCATTTTTGCGAGAACGTGACTTGCCCAGTGTTCTGCAGAAAAAGTAAACCTTAGTATTGAATGACTGTGTCGTTAATAAAGGTGAGTTCGAGTAGCAAGTTATTACATTATAAATCAATGTGAGGATGCATAAGTTGTATTCGTCTGGGGAAACCTGCACTTGCGTTTGTTTTTCTATTCAATTAGGTGAATGTAATAATTAATGAATAAAACACGCACACATCAAAAGTGCGCGCACTCACTCGAATTTAGTTACTTTATGTTTTAATTATTTTTTTTTTTTCAATCAATAAAACATATATGACCACTACTGATGTTTCTGTTACAATTGAACCGCGCGCTCCTCGCACTCGAACTCGCTTGGAAGAAGTTGACGTTCAACGTCTTCCAAGGGATTATGTCTAAACCCTTATCAAAATATACAAAAATATTATGTGACATGGTAAATCGGCGATAGTTGACTAATATAAAAAATAT